AATTTCTTTGAGGTCACATAAGGGAAAACAGAATAAATTCACATAAGGATAGAGGCTCCAGCATCTTATCTGCAGAAAGTTTAGCACTTTATTAGCCGCGTAATGACATTGAGTCTCATACTCTCCCTTACTTCTCATTGAAGGACATTTTTTCTTCCTGCCGTATATATTCCCTGACCTCTTACCTCGTTAGGAGCTCGAGCAAACCTCAAATCCCAGGTCAGAGGTCCTGTGGTCGCTCCAGAGTTCAGCCTCGGACTAAAGGTGAAACAACCATGAGTTCAAACATGGCTCAGCTGACACGGTCACCTCCTGACCCGTCCTCTGTGATGAAAGCTGTGTGGGTATAATAAGGGTCAGGGGACTGGGCGCAAACACCTGCACCAGATACAGACAGGGATAATTGTTGCTCTTTGTTTATTTTTAATATTTTTCACTTGTTGTGTTCTTCTCTCCTGTCTCCACACACGGTTTACAGTCTCCTTTTGTGCTCTCCTCTGTCCTCAGGTGTGTCAGGTGTGACTGTATGTCCTCCTGCAGCTCTGGACTCAGGTGTGGGTCTTCTCTGTCGGCTCTTTGAACTGTGGGGGCGGGTTCCAGCCGGGGTCCTGGTTCTGACAGAGTGGCTGCTAGGAGAGGATGAGGGTGACGCAGAGGCAGAGGAAGCCTCCAGTCTGGTGAGAATCAGTCTTTAGTTTTCTGAGTGGCTGCAGAGGAGATACAAACTGACAGCTAAGAGTGTTACACTTTAGTACGAGAACATCACAGGGGGTCACTGATAAAAAGAATGGTGCAGGAAGTGTGACAGCTCACGCTGTCTCTATGTCTAAAGATGTAATGTTGATGCATGTTGTTTTTACCTCATGTATCTGAACTCCTGTTTTCCTTGTAACCAGGATGAGGAGGATTTCTTATTCGAGAAGGGGGATCGCAACCTGTGGGCAGAGCCGGTCCAGTGGGTGAATCTGCTCCACAAACACCTTAACTCCCTCATTCTGGTTTTAAAGCAAAGCCAGGCTCCTAATATCACAGATCCAGATCAGCTTCACCAAATCCAGACTCTGACAACTCAGGCCAAAGCCCAAGCCCTGAGCTCCAAGCAGGCCCTGGACTCCCTCCCTGGGCTGCCTCAGTTCTCCCGCACCATGGAGCACGCCCAGCTGCTGCTGCAGCACCAGAGGGCCTCGCTAGTTCTGGATCTGCTAGAGAGGCTGAAGTAGGAAGTTAACTTTTTTATTGTAATGAAATTTGCTGATGGGAATTTTGAGACCTGGGTGATTTTTTTTTTACATAATTCGGAGTCTAAATGACTGAACACTTAAGTTTTACAGCCTGCTGCACTGAAACAAGCTGTGACTGCTGCAACTTACTCTCTGATCGAAGAGTAAAAGGTTCTTGCTTTCTCTCTCTGCTGACAGGCTCAGATTGTTATTTTAAAGTATCTAAAGATTGCAACAGAAGTTGACCTTCTTGATAAAAAGGAAGATGACTAATTTTAACAGGAACTGTTTATGACCAAAGACGCCAAACTCCAGTTTAAAACCGCTTCTTTTTGGCTTTGCTGACCTTCAAATCTCAAACTTTCCTCAACTGAGTTTATTTCTGTAAAGATGGTGGTTTTTTTAGACCAAGCACAGTTTTTCAACACAAAATACTGTTAACAGACACAATTTGAGTTTGTCAGGGGTCGGAAACAAGAACTTCAAGAGGGATGTCCTTCAATCTGACAAGATGGCATTGCAGCTATTATTGCTTATTTCACTGCTGCAATCTACCAGAGCGTTTTCAAAGCTTTGTGTATCATTAAGCTGTTCACTTCATCAGATGTGTAAAACCAGAAACCAGCTGTCAAAACAGCAGAATTCAATTTTGAAGTCTTAATATTTCAATGAGGAAAAAATGATCAGATCAGTGAATGACTTAAACACACGGGACCACAGACTGGCTTTGTGGTTAAGTCCTCCTAACATCACACAAAGGGAACGAAGGAAGCAACAGGATTCTTTTTACTCTCTACTTGTCTCTTACTTTGTTTTAGAAATCTTTCTGTCACTGAAAATTAAACGTTTTTAATTATTATGAATACATTTTGATGTCTTTTTTTCACTCAGATAAGTTCTTATGCTCCAGTGTTTTGTTCCCATTGAGAAGAAAGACTGAAGTTGAAAATAAAAACTAAAAAATAGTATTGACTGTGTGTGTGGAAATCTGCGGGCTGTCTTTAACAATAACTGAGTCATTAAGAATAATTCATGCTTTGTTCTCTTATCAGTCTGAGTGTGTCACACGACAAACTCTTAACAGCATCAGTATTGAGTCCTTGACTCATTTTGTTCCCTCAACGTCTCGCAGGGATTTAAAGTCTGAACAAAACAACTCCTCGCCTAAAGCTTCAAGTCCAACTTCAATAGACTGATTGTGCAGCGAGAAGAGCTTTATGAGTGCCGCATGGGAGTGTGAATGCAAGCGATTCTCTGACACGTCACCAGAGTTATACTTGAATGTAAGCTCAGACTCCTACTGTATGTTTATACGAGGTGTGATTTTCCTGTGATATTTAATTTACTGCACGATTCTTCCCATTGGACTGTGTTTTTATGCTTCCCTCCACTTTTCCTGCTTATGTAATTAGGAGGACAGCACAATGGACTACTGTCCTCCTGTGTGTCTGTGTGTGTGTGTGTGTGTGTGAGTGTGTGTAGCCCCACTCCCTCCCTGGTAGCCATGTTCCCTGTTACAGTAAAACTGACGTAATGTTTTGGAACAGCTCGACATCCCCCAATAAAAAAAGCGGAGCGCTGTGATGGCCGAGTGGTTTCTGTGGACGAGAACATGTTCGAGGGATTTCTCAGGAGCCCGATCGTGTCTGTCCTTCACATTAAACTATTTATCTCTGCTCATGGAGCACAAATAGTCCCAGGGCAGCCCTCAGACTAATTTTAGGGTTGGTTGTAGTAGATTCCAGCCTCTTATGTCACTTGTTTTTGCCTGTTGCTATTTTCCCTACTTTTTTTTCTCTTCCAACCAAAGTATTCAGTACTTAAGAGAATCATGTCACAGAAAGAAAAAATCACTCTTATAACCACTCTATCAATTTTGATCCTTTATGGAAAAGGCCTCATGGTTACCAGTGTCTCACAAACCTTCAATTTAAAATGATATGTGTTGCCCAGAGTTTTTACACCCTCCTCACCAAAATATCTGCCCACACAGCTCTGATATAGAGTCCTGTTCTGAGCTGCTGCCAGCGCTGCGATCTTTCTCCTGTGGGTTTTTAAAAACCTGACACAGCTCCAGCAGCACAGTGGAGCTCTTCTGACATTTTCATGTGAACGTTTTGCCATCCTGGGGAACTCGCATCATGCTGAAACAGGGCCCGCTTAACTGCAACCACACTGCGCTCTGTGACTGCACAACATCCCAAAACACGGAGGCTTCAGTGTGAAAACAGGAAACAAACATGGCAATCTCTCTGCTGTAAGTGTATGACATTATGACAGCTGTTTATTTTTATTTGGGTTTCCAGGATTACATCAAGAACCTCCTTTACTAGAGACCCGCTGATTTCTGTAAGATTTCATAAAAAGGGATTTGGTCTGTTGTGGATGTTATGGCACATTTGAATTATAAAAGAAATTGATCATAATCACCAGTATGTCCATGTAGATTCTCATTCATCCAGGTCATGGTTTTCTTGAAGGACTGAAGAAGCTTCTTGGATAAGAGGCGATATACATTTGATTATTTCATTTACATTTGCCTGATTTTGGAGTCTTCAAGATCATAATCACCACTACTCCTACTGCCAATAAGCACAAAAATATGTGAGGATCTCATATGTTTCATTTAAAGTGAGGTTAAAAAAATGTAGGCTATGAGGGTTTGTGCAAGACTTTGTCCAGAGAGTGTACAAAAGCACACATTGAAAAGCGTCATCTGCACAATTTCATCCAAACACACTGAAATGGGTCCAATTAAAATGATTATTTTTAAACACACTCATATTTAAGTCTTTTTTTTTTGGCCTGCTTGTTACCTGCATAATCTTACTCAAGTTCTGTCCAGCAGGAGGCATCTCAATGTCTCCCACTCAGTCCCCCCTCTCTCCTCTTGGGGGCAGTGTTGGTCTGCGGCAGCCCTGGAAAACCACATTCCTGCAGTCTGAGGAAAAACAAGTGAGGGAGGAACTTTGGAGGAGAGCTGCAAAAAGATGTAGAGTTAACTCTTCACACAGAGTCATGTTTGTGACAGAGGGGCTCTTTAATCTGACGTTGAAGCATGGTTTAAAGGAGAAAAACAAAAGTAGGTCATTAGTTTCCATGCATAGACTGTAGGGAGTTGCTGTTGCCCTGTGGATTATGCAACCAGTGGATGCTAAAAATTGTTGTGCACTCTGCCTGGACTCCACTGGGCTCATACTTGTGGTCTCAGCCTGTCCACAGGGAATGGGGGAGGGAAGGGGAGGCAGAGTTTCCTTCCATTACAAATAGTGTGTGTCAGCTCCCAAACTGTGCTGAGGGTGGCCTGTCACCGCAGGGTCGCCGGTTTGATTTCAACTTTGATTTAAGTTGTTTTAAGTGTGAGACTAAGCTTTGTCTTGAAGTCAGTGGTGGATTTCTCTAGCAAGGCACCAATTCTTTCAACTAACTGCATTACACTGTGTGAGTGTGTGAGAGCAGCTTTCATGCAAGTTGATGTTTCCACATTCTTTCTCGGCGAGAGTCAGCCTCAAAAAGCAAAACCAACTTCCACAAAATTGGTTGTGATTTAAAGAAGAAAAAAAGTTTTGAAGAGGGGGGGTGACGAGGGTGAGAAGGAGGAGAGGGGTGCTGGGGTTAGATTTCAAGGCGTGGTGTTGAAGAATAGGCGGCCAACCGGTGAATGGAAGTTTTTCCTGGGAGGAGGGGAGGAGGCGGCTCCTTGCAAAAGTTTGCGCCGACTTCAGCTCGCCCCTCCCCGGCCGCCTCCGCGCATTTATACGCAGGCAAACAGGCTGCGACGCACAGTGAAGCACTCTGGTTCAGCGCTTCTCAAGGGGAGGAATCATAGCCAACTACAACTCAACAATACAACCTAACCCCCCTTTTCTCTTTCTTCATCTACGGACTAAAGCTGCACATTAACTTTTAAAGCATCTTTTCTACAACCAAAACCAGTCGTGGCAGAAACTACCGCTCGTCGCATACAAGGAACCGACTCGGTCCTCTATGAAAGAGGGAGTGCGGCAGCAAACTTGGAGCAAAGAGATGTCTGCGACGGTTTTGTCCGCTTTCTACGACATGGACATGCTTTACAAGGTAGAAACCGTACTGTATATGTTGATTTGATGTTTGCAGGAGGACTATCGCTTCGACTTCTGTGCATTTTAAGTTCACATGCAACAAGTTGCTGCGCTGCAGGAAGTTTTCTTGAACGCACCATGTGTTTCATAAAGCCAGACAATCTGTGCTAACTTGTGTCTCTTTTTCTCCCCCAGCAGGATAAAAGCATGAACATGAACGCGCTCCACATCAACAGCATGTTGGATAAGAAAGCTGTGGGGGCTCCGGTCACCACTCAAGGCTCCGGCGGCGCCTTCACGCCAGGATTTTTCCGCAGAAACTCAACCAGCAACGTGGAGGCGATGAACAACGGTAACAAGTACTCAGTGGGCTCCTACGGAAGCCTGAAGGAGAACACACCGAGCAGCACCAGCAGTGCCACGGCCTTAATGAACAAGGAGAACAAGTTCCGCGACCGCGCTTACAGCGAGAGCGGGGAGCGGGGCGTGCTGCAGCAGAAGCCCGGCTCTCAGATCAACTCCACCCGCTACAAGACCGAGCTGTGCCGGCCCTTCGAGGAGAACGGCTCCTGCAAGTACGGGGAGAAATGTCAGTTTGCTCACGGCTACCACGAGCTCAGGAGCTTGTCCCGCCACCCCAAGTACAAAACAGAGCCCTGCCGCACCTTCCACACCATCGGCTTCTGCCCGTACGGCCCCCGCTGTCACTTTATCCACAACGCCGACGAGCGCCGGCCCGCTCCAGCAGCCAACGCCAACGTGCAGGAGCCCCGGTCAGCCCGCGAGCTGTGCGGCTACAGGGACGTCATGCCCCCACAGCAGCTCGGCTTTTCACAGCGAGACAGACCAAAGCTCCACCACAGCCTCAGCTTCTCGGGCTTCTCCACCCACCACGGGCTCGAGTCTCCCCTGCTAGACAGCCCCACGTCCCGGACCCCTCCTCCGCCCACCACCGCCTCCTCCTGCACCTCCGCCTCCAGCTTCTACGAGGAGGTGCTCTCTCCCAACTCCGTGTCCTGCATCAACAGTGCCTTCTCCTTCCCCGGACAGGACCTTAAAGCCTTACTGGCTCCCTTGGCGGTGCACACCCCCGGCTATGCCAACAACCACTCCACCGGAGCCTACTACGGGAACGTGCCGGGCAGCGCGTGCCCGCCCTCCCCTCCCGCCTACAACATGAGCCACCTGCAGGCGCTGCGCCGCCTCAGCGAGTCTCCGGTGTTCGAGCCTCCTCCCAGCCCGCCAGACTCGCTCTCTGACCGGGAGAGCTATGCGAGCGGGTCCCTCAGCTCTTCCGGGAGCCTCAGCGGCTCCGAGTCCCCGAGTCTGGACGCTGGAAGACGGCTGCCTATCTTCAGCAGGCTGTCGATTTCTGATGACTGAATCAGTGTGTTTTCACTCGGATTTATAGACGGTCCGGCAGGGTGGTATGGGACCCGAATCCCCCCTCGGGCCCTCCGCCTTCTTTTAAGCAGAAGCCACCCTGCCGAAGTGCCTTTTGAGCAAGACATTGAGTCCCTGGCAGCTCCGGGGGTGCTGACCCTGCTCTGACCTCCCTGGAGGGGGGCACGAAGAGAGAAACAGGGATCAATTAAGCTTCAACAGTTAAAGTGTCCTTGACCTGGCATTAGTTCAGTATCTGTCTTTCTTTTTCTGTGTATTATATCTGTATTAAAGTTAGATAGCAAACAGAAGGCATTCCATCAGTGCCTTGCCCCAGGGCTCGCGGCAGCCCCCACCCCCCTGGTCCACACTGTTCCTGGGATTAAACGTGTGGCCGACATGACTTGACAAGAAAAAGAGACTGTAAGCGGTTTTCAGATTTCCTCCATCCTGCCAAGAAAATGCCTTGATGACTCAAAGTAACATTTTTCTTTTATCAGTGTTTTTTTTTTTTTTTTTTTCCTTCTTCCATTCCAAACTTTTTCCTCCTCCAGCGCCACCCAGTGGTCGGTTCGGTTAGTGTAGTTTGTTGCTTGGTTAAAGCACTCTTGAGTTGGGTTTGTTTGGGGAAATCACTGCTGATGGTTGAATATCTATTTTTTTAGCTGTTTTGAGTGATTGACATAGCTGTGCATAACTGGCTATGGACTATTTAACTTATTTATTATCTTGTGAAAAAAGTATAGGCTACATTGGTAATTTTTGTGTCCATACTGTATTTATCAAGTATGATGAAGCAATAGATCTATATTCTTTTATGTTTAAATTATGATCGCCATTATTAATCTGCATAAAGTGGAGTGTATGTTCTTTTCACAGTAATATATATATTTTGTTTTTTTTCTCCTTTTTTGTAACTTCACTTGGTTATTTTTATTGTAAATGAGTAAAAAAAATCTTAATTTAAGAGAACGTATGTGATATTTATTTCATTAATTTTGTTTCCTTGTTTACGTTTATTAAAAGAAAAGTTTGCGTGATTGCTGTTGCTCGTGTGTCAGTGCTTAGAAGGCTTTTTTTTTCCTTGAGGATCCCTATTTAGCTGTTTTTTTTTTTTTTTTTTTTTGGTAGAATGTATAAACAATGTGGTTGTACAGACCGTCCAAACTTTACTTCTTTTGTTTAGATCAGACGTCAGTGACAAAGAACCCAAGTCAATAAATTAACCAAAAAGTATTTTTGTTTTCTGTGTTTGCACGAGGTCACACTGTGATTCCAGCCACGTGCTAAAGAATGTAGCATCCTTGTGCCCCAGTATTATTGTGTAGTGCCTATGGGGTTCACCATCTTGACATGCCTTAAAATTAACCAAATAAAGTATTTTTCCTACATGGCATCTTTTATACACACGTTGAACTGAATGTAGAGTTGAATCTATTTTTAAAGGTTGTTACCACTCAGACACCCTGACAGAAACAGCCGTAACCTTTCTAAACCCCCATTCCTCTTATTTTCATTTCCTTTTTGCTGTTTTTCTTTCTTTTTTTTTCATATTGAGATGTAGTGTGAGCGTTAGCTGAGAGGGAAGTGGATGAACACGTTTGGTTTGTACATAGTAGGTACAGGGGGAAGCGCACTATGTACTTTTGACTACTTTATCAGAAGTAAAGCTTTTTGAATGTAACAAAAAAACGGACAAAAAGACAACGAGAGTTGTGATATTTTTGGGGGAGTCAGTTCACTACAAATCCAGTGTGAGACTGTTAACTTTGTACTGTACATTTTTGTAGTTCTCCCAATAAAAATCATTTTGAAAAAGCTTCGGACTGTCACGCTGTCATGTATTCTGCATATGAGAATGAGGGCTGCAATTCATGAGCTGGCAAAATGATGGAAAAACAAGCTCTAGACTAGGAAAACTGGAGGTGATTCTGCCGCCAAATTCAACACCATACTACTCAGAGAATAAGGGATGCAAAAGTAAATGTTGGGATGATCAAAACAGATTCCTTTACACAGATAAGAAAACTAATGTTATTCTCATTTGGCAGCATCGGATTGGTACGAAACAGTTGTAAAACGGCATACATATGTGGATCAGTAAAATACAACATCATGTGTGCATGTATCCATCTTCAAGCTCATGAACCGCCCTGACCATGTGACTCCAGGTAAAGGCGCAGCAGGTGAAACACCTGATCAAACACGCAGAGCTTCAGGATGTGTCAGTTTAGCTCCTTATGTAGCTCACAGAATCATCAGATGTTACAAATCAGCGTCTGTTCTCTTTCTGCAGTGGAAAAAGTCTGCAGGCAGAGGGACGGCGTGGCACGATGCCTCAGCTGCCCTGTGACGCCACATAGCCCTGGGCCCTCTGTGTGGTCCCAGATATCTGCTCCTCATCCTCAGTTTACAGAAAAATCAGTGGCCGGCTAGTTTCCATAGACCCTGAACTCCTCTCAGACAAAGAAGGAAAGTAGAGCTGTATGTGGGCTCTGTGCTGTAAGAACCTGACCCTGAATGCATCACAGCACACACTGATAGCCATGAATGTAATGTTACATAATGTGTAATGTTCTGCTCTAAACATGGAGTGATGAGCGATACGTCTGCACCGTCTGAGGAATGAGGGCTGGAATTTTAAAATGGAAAATGTGTAGGAGCCCAGAACCAGAGGACTAGATCAGACTGGGAGTCTAGATCTATGTAACAGGACAAATTTGACTCTTTAACACACTGTGTGGTATGTAAACCAGCATGCACAAAACCCTGTCACCCTCTGATTGCTGTCAGTTTAAGTTAATATAGATAGATGAGTCAGTGTTAGAGGACATATTCAAACCATGAACCAAAATAGTTAATTGAGCTTGTTAACAGATTCTTTCACATATCCTGGATGAATGACTATTTTAAATCACAGTTCAGTAGAGCAGTCTAATGGGTCTGACTCTGAGGGTCAGGGCCCCAAAAAACCACCAAGATCAATCTGTGGAGATGGATGATAAGATGGGAGAAATAGAGAACATTTCTGAATCCATTTATCATATTCTGTAATCTGACCCTTTTCATTGTTTAAAGCTTGTATAAGGAACTTTTGGTTCATTCATTATTGGCAGCCCCTGTGAAAAGTGGTGCCCCCTCAATATGTTTTCTTTTCCGTCCTGTATCCATGTTCGCTGTTTCGGTATAAGGTATTTAATCATCTCATCTGCCCTTTCACCTACAATCAGCAGTTTCATACATTCATTCATTTAAAAAACAAAATAGAAATAACTCATCTTATCAGTGATGGTCTCATTTAATTATGAAGCCGATAAGGAAGAAATAGTGTTAGGGTCCTTGTCCGGCAACATATAATGTTGCTTAGCGACATAAAGTGACTGACACCAAGAGTGCAGCATTTGGTTTGATTGGAAAACAGGCATCAGCTGATATAGCCTCTTAATACAGTACTATTGTGTTTCAAAACCAGCTAATAACTCCTTACAGGACCTTTACAGGAGACCATTTTAGAGGGTGAGATGTAGTCATAAGGCATAAAGTGCTGTTTTTTAAGGAGTTTATGCTCTTGTGAGGAGTGTTTTGATATGACTGATTTTTTCACATTTTAATTTTTAATGCCTGAAACTATTGAAACTGAAGAAAAAGCCATGTTTTAAAAACTTCTACAAAAGTTTTTACAAAAAAAGTATACATTTGACTGTCTAGATTTTTAGTCAGATAACATAACTTTAGCACGTTGAGGACAAAATATTTAAAGACTGCTTTGTCCACAGGTATGCCAAATGTTGAGTTCCTCTCAGGAGCTTTAATGTAAAAGGATCATTCATATTTTTACCTAGAACCTTTAACGTAAAAGCTCTTAAAGCACTTACTCATAAGAAGTCATGTAAGCATGTACAAAGTCTTCTACTTCGACTGGGGTGCACTTTTTTCTTGTTTGTGTGTGTGTGTGTTTGTGTGTGTGTATCATTAGACAGGTATTATAAGTTTCTGACAACATGGCAGACATGAACCCATCAGGGACACATGCTTTTATTCTTGAGAAGAAGTAGCTTTTCTGATCAGAGTAGAACTCTCATCATAGCCACCAGACTCCATTGACAAAAACAGTCATTTTACATCACAGGACACCAGCTCACTAGACCCTTATTTATTTTTAATATTACTTGTTACATCAATATTGATTTAGATCTGAAGATAGAAAAACATCTTAGAAAACAACAGCTAAACTGATAAACAAAATCTCCTTCTGATATAGAGACAATAACAAACCAGAAACTCGCATGTCCTGTGAGGTAAATTTAATGTTTTTATTAATGGAGTTTGGTGGCTTTAAAGATGGAGGCTTAACAAATGTTCCTGGTTCATAAAAGCACCCTCTCTGATGGGAACTAATATTGTCAGACACTGGAAAAAGTCTGTCCACTAAAGAACAAACATTTTTAGTGGACATACTTTGATTGATAAAGGATTTCATTGGCGTCATTTTAGCCTGTTTTACTGCTGCAGAAATCTATCAGAGAAAATCCAAAACATTGAAACTTTTTGGTCATTTATAGTCATAAAAAAACACAACACAGAGCTTGGTTCAAAGTATATTTTAGTGTCATATAAAAGGCCTGTAAATGTTATGAAACAATGTGCTTTAATCCATCTGTGTTGCTCTGCCAATGAATTTTTAAGTAACCTCTTGTTTAGGGTGATATCATAGTGAGCTAAGGTCAGACAAGTGGAGATGGATGTATTAGTCTGGGAAGTCAACATCAGCCATTGACCCATAACTGATTAACCCTGCAGCTGTAAATGTGTCTCTACTATCAGCAGGTAGAATAGGGACAGTGCTGAATTTTGCAACTCAACACCCACGGCCCTGATAGAGGGTCACATTCGCTCATGTCTAGACCAAATAAAACCCTGGCCTACATCTTACAGAGAAGCCTCCGTTTGTGCGCCGCCTCTTTTCCTAAAATCTTTCAAAGACGTGTTTTGTGCAGGCTGTTCTGTAAAGTTATCAGCTGCAGCAAGAGTGTAAGAAAATAAAGGAGCAGGAGTCATGTGGTGCCGGGGTTCACGCCAAGATAAGAGCGGCCGATAAGAGTCGGCAAATATTTACCGTGTCCTCAGGATTTCATAATGAAGTGTTTATCAGAGCAGAGCCAGAGGGCCTCACAATGAGCCTAGGCCCGCCAAGTCCCAGACACGTACCTGTGACGGTTTGAGTGTGGGAATGTATGGGTGTGTGTTTGTGTTTGTGTGTGTGATTTAGTACATCAATCAACACGAATAATGTTTAATGGAGTGCTTTTATATATATTATGTCTATAAAGGATTTCTATAAAAGGATGTGTAGTGTATGTATGTATATGTGTGTGTGTGTGTGTGTGTGTGTGTGTGTGTGTGTGTGTGTGTGTGTGTGTGTGTGTGTGTGTGTGTGTGTGTGTGTGTGTGTGTGTGCCCTGCTGGTTAATGGATCTGGAGCTCCTACAATGAAAGGAAACGCTCTCTGACTTGTGATTAGAGCAGGAAGAGTCGTGCTTCCTGGCCACCACCCATTTCCACCTCTTCTTCGTCCTGCTGTTTTTCCTCCTCCTCCTGCAGCTTCCCCTCTCCTCTGTAGTGTTCGCCATCTAGAAGTTTCTATTTGTGTTCCTCCGGCCGCATAGGGAAGCTTGGCTCGTCCTGGTATTGTTTTGGCATGCTCAGCCCAGACCCAGGGTCAAGTAGTAACATCACATGCTCCTTAGACTTTGTTTTAGCCCACATAGAGGATGGTGGCTTTTTAATTATTATTCTTCAAATGGACTTTGAGTTTAAGCCTGACTAGGTGTAGACTTCAATTTGCTCATCAAAATGTGCTCTAGAAACAAATCAATACAGGACAGATAATGGATTTATGGTGAGACTTTAAAAAAGCATCAAAAACAGCTTAATAGCAAAGAAATGCTAACTTCAGTTCAACCTGTCCAAAACTGAGCCCCTTTTTGATATCCTTCTAGGATCAAACAAACTCAGGACCAAATAGCCTGCCAGAAATCTGGGTATCCTTTAAGGGTCCATGTGACCCTGATTGCCTGGTCATTAAAATCAAGGAGATCAGAGGCCTGTACTACGAAGCTGGATTAACAAATCCAGGATAACTCTGCGACAACTCGCTCAACTTCACCGGATCTCCGCGATCCCGATCAGCTGTACTACGAAGCAGGATATCAACTCGATAACTGAATCCAGTTCAGATCTGTGCGCGCACACGTAAAGGGGGTCGGGTCAGTGCCACCGGACCAATCTCTACAATGGAGAAGGCTGCACGTCATTTTTCACAGCTGAAGAACAGAGCTTTATTTAAACAGTGAGACAGACACAGCCGCTAAAAGCCGGAGGGACTGCCGGCAAAAAAAATCACCGGTTGTGTAAATTACACTTGTGCGTTCATAAATTTATGGCCCCCTAATATATTGTCATGCAGCGTGTGTGATCACCACCATCACTGACCTCATTATTTAAGATACAACAGCAGTGGGGAAAAGAGTACGTGGGAGCAAATAAAAATAAATCTAAAAACATCCTTTAAAGTAGTTTGTAAGTTTATTGGAAGATTTTATTTGTACATATTTCAACGCGTAAACAGTGATTTCCTCACACTGCCTTTTTTTTTCTCCATCATCTGATGGTCACGTCATCTGCAGACACATTTGGGGTTAAGAGTTTTCTTATCTGCTTCAATGAATTCTGAAAGATGACTAACAAATTTGAACCTGGAGCTTGGCAAATATTAGTGTATTGCTTAGACTTCTTGCTACCTGAATATTGAGGCCGTCCGAG